AGGGTGAGGGGCCTGGTTTTCTGTACCTGGGTGTTGAATCAGGACACTACACCATCATTGTACCATCTAGGAAGTGACACCGTTATAAAATACTTATACTTTCAGCTCTAGAAACAGGAAGCACCTTTTTAACAGCCTGCTAAAACATTTCTTCCTAGATTCGCAAGAGGACGTCCCTTCTATTTAGTGAGGTGCTTGCTCACCCTTAGGGAAACCTCAGAGGATGAAAGATTGAGGCAAACATTGAATTAATTGCTTGAGAGTAAAACCCTTGCATTCACACACAGCATGACTGGGAACGCCACTGCCCCTTTGGCTGTGACTCCCTCTGATGCCCAGGTGGGCATGGTGACCCACCTAGGTTGCAGTTTGGTTCAGGACTGCTGTCCCCAAGGACCCTTGGAGCACCCCTTGCCCCTGGTGCCACTACACCTATGAATGTACATGGCAGGTATTTTCTTCTCCATGGAAAGACGATCTAGAGGCAGAGTGCAGTGCTCTCTGGGAGATCCGGTGCTGAAGATGATAAACATTATCTTTTCTTCTTACAGTGGGGTTGGAGTTTCCGGGACACAAAGGGCTTTCTGGCTCTGTCAAGCTACTCTTGAGAGATGTAACAGGCTCCCCTTGCCAAGTGCTTGAAGTCACTTTTCCCAAGTTTTTCATTTTTCATTTTGATAGTGAGAGATTGAAAAGAGAGAGAAAGAAAAGAAATAGCATTCCTATCAAATTGCAAAAAGTTTGTGAGTCTAAGCTGTGACTTGTCCCTCTGGGGAGTTGGGGAGGGAGCTGGTGCTGACCACGTCTGTTTTGTGCTTGTTGAGGATTGTAGAAAGTCTGGCATTTTTATCTTTCTTGTAAGTTACCATGTCGGCCTGGCTCAGTTTCATAGATGCTGGCAGAAGGCACGAGATTCTCAGGTCAGAGATCGAGGATATTATTACTCAAGGCACAGCAATGAGTGTGAGAGCCACATTCCCACCCCTGCCCACCCTTGCAGGGCTTGTGGGTGATGCAGAGCAGTGCAGGTGGATGCTATGCCTGCAGTGGGCTTGTGTAGTAGCTGGGAAGCTCTAAGCTTAGGAAACCCCAAACTTTTTCTTTTTTCCACAGTCAACAAATACTTTCAAGATGCCTATTGTGTGCAAGGGACTTTTCTAAAAACAAGTAAACAAAACAAAGAATTCTGTTCTCGTGAAGCTGACATCCCAGAGAGGAAAGACAGAAAATGAAGAATAACCATTAGAATAAATAAATTCTAGAGTAATTTAGTTGATAAAGGTATGGACAAGAGCTAAAGCAGATATGCGGGGCAGGAATCCTGGGGGAGTTGTGGCATTAAACAGGACGCTCACGGAGGCCCTCATTGAAAAGATGAACTTGGACTGAAGATAAAGGAGCTGAGGGAGGCTGCCCCAGACGATCCAGATTCCAGTCAGAGATCAGCAAGGCTGTGGCTTCTGATCGGCTGCGTCCAGTGCCTACGAAACTTTGGAAGGGGCTTGCTGGTACACTTGCCCAAATTTTGCCTCACATAGAGACATTATTTTTATTGTCTAGCTCAGCCAACAAATTTAACTTCTGCCCAACAAGGAGACACTATCTCTATCTTCCAAGGCTATCTGCTATGCAAGCATTCTTGAAAAAACAGTACAGAACAGAAGCCATCAAGGGCTCTGCTTAGGAGACATGCACAAATGCCAGGGACCCACAGGGGACAGTCTCCCAACAGGTCCACCCACTCCCATGCTTGGCGGCACTTGGGTGACCCAAGTTAGCGTCAAGCCTGTCCAGTCTGCAGCCCCTGTTTGCTGCGGTTGGCGGGGAGGGAATCAGCAAGGATCCTGCCCACAGTTACCATCTGACCCTGGTGTAGCTCTGGCTTGTCAGTGCCACTTACTCTTTAGGCTACTCAATGACCCTGCCATCATGAGTCTTCCCCTCAAGCAAACAAACATCTCACAGAAAACAGACACAGCTTTTATGCAGGCCCGAAGATTCCTTCCTGGCTTAAACTCTTGTTAGGGATTGCAACAGCTTGGTTTCCAAGATCTGCAGAAAATCTTTCCTTCACTGTAGCCACACTCTGCTGCCTCTGATGGGCCGTTTTGGAATAATGACTGGAGAAGCAACATGGGCCTTGGGTGTCCTGGATATTAAACTGAGGATATTTTAGTTTTTCCAGGTGCTCTTCAGAGAGCTGACAAACTCTCTAAGCCACATTCTTGGGAAAGTTGAAAGAGGGGCCCGTCGTGGTGGCTCACGCCTGTAATCCCAGCAATTTGGGAGGCTGAGGTGGGTAGATCACCTGAGGTCAGCAGTTCGAGACCAGCCTGGCCAACATGGTGAAACCCCATCTTTACTAAAAGTACAAAAATTAGCTGGGCATGGTGGTGCACACCTGTAATCCCAGCTACTTGGGAGGCTGAGCGGGAGAATAAATTGAACTTGAGAGGCGGAAGTTGCAGTGAGCCGAGATCATGCCACTGCCCTCCAGCCTGGACAACAACAGTGAAACTCGTCTCAAAAAAAAAAAGAAAAGAAAGTTGAAAGAGGACTTTTATGGACATACTGTTAGGTTCTTTTGAACCTTTGGTGGGTAGCTGGCCTATAACACACTAGTCCTTTGGTTCCCAGTCTTATGCTAGTTCCAGAAGGCTGGGTGTTATCGCTAGAAATTGATTCACAGAGTTCCAGAGCTTCTCTAGAAGGCCTCAACCATGTCCTTAAAAGTCGCATAAAACTTTTGGCATTTGAGTGATTCAGGAATCATGATACCAGGCCAGAGGGACCTTAACTGAGTGGTGATCTCCTGCTTGTTTAAAGAGCAGCTTAAGAAACTGTGTGTTTTCTCTGTCTTAAGATAGTACCAAGGGTCTCTGCAGCAAGGGCCCAAAGACGATGGGTGGAATAAAAGCTTACCTGGTCTAGCTGGTGACCAGCTTCATGTTATGGCACTGTCCATCTTTTCCATCTCCACTTTTCCGCCCTCTTCTCTTCATGGGTAGACGTGGTGGACATGGATGCAAGGCAGCAGTCATCAGGCAGATGCGAATGACGTGGAAACACCAGGCTCCCGGAGATGTGCTGAGTGCCGAGTGCTGGGTGGCTTACTGGCTGCGTATCAAGAGAAGGCCTTGCTCAGTCCAGGAGGGTGGGCATTTTTCAGGCTGCCAGCCGGATGGATGCTGAGGAAGAAACCCAGTCCACTGACCCAGTAGCTATTGTCCATGTACCCTATAGATATTGACCGGAGGATAGAGAATTTATTTGAGTTTCACCGTTTTAACATAGGATAATGTGTGCAGACTTGGGTTAATACGATTATTTCAACAAAACACATCAGACAGGTAGAGGTCCAGAGGATTCTTAATTATTATTACTATCAATAACAGTCTTTTTAGTACACATTAGCCTCTTCTGCACCCCTTGGAAGATGGTAATAAGAGACCCTAATCTGAGAGGGAAGGAGGTGATCTTTTGAGACAATTGTTTGTATGTTAAACTAACTTTAATGAGTATTTTAAAGGCAGGAGTCTTGAAAGTCATCCATTCCAGAAGCAGACATAATGTAGAATTTTTTTATTTTTGTACAGCTTGAGAGAAAAATGTTAAAAAGATAAACCTCTAAGTTTGGGGAATATAGAAGTTTTAGGCTGATGAAAGATAGACTTTTAATTGTTTGCCCCCAGAAAGTAGCATTTCATTTCTTTTGCATAAGAAAAAAAAAACTGGTCTGTGAATATATAAACAGTACACATCAACACAGATTAAATCCTGAAACCATGAATGCACATCTCACATTCATGGAGTCATCTGACACTAGTGCCAGTGGGTGGTCTTGACATGGTCCTGGACCCATTCTGTGTCACTGAATCTAAGCAGGCAAATGGGCCGGCCTGGAAAATAAATAGAAGGAAGAAAGGATGGGGAAGAAGGAGGGTAGGAGGGAGAGAAGGAAAGACATTTCTGAATATGTTCCCAAGATGGTAATAACTGGCACCAGTTCACGTTGGTGGCCTTAATGGAAGCCTGTAGAGAATCTTGGGCCTGGGAGACTGAGCGGCTGTGAAGGTTTGATCAGGATTTCTGGTTAATGACACATCTCTGACATCAAGACCTGGTTATCTTTCCCTTTGATGGAAGTGAGCCTGCAATGGAGTGCTGGAGCCAGGGGAGGATTACATACTCTTTCAAAAGCACATTGTGTGAAGGTTATGGGATAGAGAAGGCTGTTCAGACTATTTACGAGTAAATTCTTTCTTAGGATGAGCCACATGGGAGATAAGCTGAGAGAAAGGAAACTAAAAGCTTAGAGTTTAGAGGAACATCACTTTCCTCTGGTTACAGAGTAGTGCATTGGTGGCAATGTATATTGAGACGGTCTATCGCAAATCCGGATGCCAGGCATAGTGGAGATAGGAAAAGTCATGGAGGGGAGGATGCACGAGCTTGCTCCTTCTCACGCATGCTGGGGCTGCCTGTCAGGCTCCAGAGCAGGGTTTGGCAAATGTTTCCTGTAAGGGGCCAGGAAATAAATATTTTAGGCTTCATGGGTTATGACGTGACTGTTGCAACTATTCAGCTCTACCATTGTGCCATGAAAGTAGCCATAGACAATAGCAAATAGTGCATATGGCCTTGTTTCAATAAAACTTTGTTTAAAAAAACAGCAGGAGGCTGGATTTGGCCCATAGGCCACAGGCTGTTGAACCCTTGCTGTGGGCAGGAAAGGGGCGGAGCCTTGCAAGGGGCTTCGAATACTTGGACTGCCCTGGTTGTGGTGGAGACCCGCCTGCATTTTGTCCTCTCCAGCTTGAGAGCAGGAGCTGCACCTTCTTTGTGCTTCCCAGAGATTCCTGAGGAGTTCAGGGTGTTAGCAACGACTCTGGTTTATTGAACTGGGCTCTGGGTTCAGGCCTGGTATTGCAAACAGAAGTACCAATGGGAAGCTGGACCAGGCCATTGGTAGAAGAAGACGAGAGAAGTAGACATGGAAATAAAGGCAGACAACCTTTTCTTTTTTATTTCGCTTAGACAAAATGCAAAGAGTGTCTCATTAAATTAAAAAAGAAACAAAAAAGAAAACCAAATTGATTCCCCCCACCCCTTCACTGACGGCACTCATCCTAATTAACAACAAAAGAAGACCAAATTGAGAACCCAGTTTCTAATGGGAAAGAAAGGTGTGCAAAGGTGACTGTGGTTTTCCCCTGCCCACAAATCGGTGTTCCTTTTAAATTCACAAATAGGCTAATTTCCCCCCACCCTGTTTTCTTTCTTGCCTCTTGTGTGATAGAACTTCCAGTCAGAAGGTTTAATTAATCCCCCCATGCACTTTTGTAGAAAATCAGTAAAAATGCAGTAGCCTGTGAAGATCATAAAACTGGACTTCTTTCCCAAAAAATCAGATGCCCAGGCGGATGGAGCTCACACTCAGACAGAAAAAAAGCAGGAGAGTCTTTGCACTGTCTGTGGTTTCAGTATTTTCTCTTTTTTTTTTAATATATTTTGGCAATTTTCTTTAATTATAAATATTGGAATTCCGTAAAAAAAAGGTAGCTTTGATTGAACTGTTTGAATTGTATTTACAACCGCGTCCACTCATGCTGTCTGTTATACCAGGGTGTAAGATTTTGCGTAAGGATTGTTTCCTTTCAAATGGCCCCGGGAGTCGAGCAGTGATTCTTGGGAGCTGCTCATTTTAGCTGCCTGTCCCAGCTCTGCCCCCTCCCGCTGAGGTAATGTGGCCACGGCCCCCGCCTGCCACGACTGTCCTTCTCTCGTGGAGGAGGCGGAGGAGGCGGCTTCCATCGGGATGGGCTCCAGGACCGTGGGGCGCTTCAGGGTCCGGCTTTTCTGAGGTTCCAAGCACGCTTGTCCTAAGCTCAGGTCCCTGCTGGTGCCTGGACCACCTCGGTTTAACAAAAAGTCCATTCTAAGGTATGGAGGCAAATGTATGAGGTCACCTAGAAAAAGAGATAGGGCAGTTAGTGGGTGTCTTCATTTGGTAAACAAGGCAGAATGCCCTGTGTGCATGTGGGAGGCCACGTGGCGTTTAGAGACGAGAATGCCGCTGCACTGGGCTCCTTTCTCAAGATACTCCATCAGTGCTCACCACAAAGGCAGGTGGAATCATCCTCATACCTCTTCGCAGAGCACGGGAAGAGCTCATTTCCCTACAGTTCATTAACTTACTTGTACATAAATGGAGGAAGGGAGGTAACAGAATCCTTCAAAACACTATCATTGAAAGAAAAACATACATCAAAGGCAACAGTGTCCACTGGGAATGAACCGTGATAGACCAAATCCCGCAGGCGATTGGAAGTATGGGGAAAGCACAAGGTTTGAGGAGAGAGCCAGGGACACTAAGGGAAGAAGGATGGATAGCTGGCTCTCCTCTTGGCAATTCTGTAAAACCTTGTGACCTTGGCCGGCCACTTAGTTATGGGTCTTTATGATGGCTTTGCATGAAAGTGCCACAGCTCATGGCCTTACCAGGCCCTGCCTACCTGCTAACCTTCTGCGTGTGGCTCTTCTGTCTCAGCCGTGCTCTGTATAGAGAGGACAACAGCCTCGACCAGAGTGCTAGTGTTTCTACTCCCTGCTCAAGGTCACTCTGCGTTCTGTGGTGCCCTGGAAACAGAACCTCAGGTCTCCTTCAAGAGCACTGGCTGGGTGTGGTGGCTCATGCCTGTAATGCCAGCACTTTGGGAGGCCAAGGTGGGAGGATCACCTGAGGTCAAGAGTTCAAGAACAGCCAGGCCAACATGGTGAAACCTTGTCTCTACTAAAAACAAAAAAGAGCCAGGTGTGGTGGTGGGCACCTGTAGTCTCAGCTACTGGGGAGGGTGGGGGAAGAGGATTGCTTGAACCCAGATGCAGAGGTTGCAGTGAGCCCAGATTATGCCACTGCACTCCAACCTGGGTGACAGAGCAAGACTCAAAACAAAAACAGAAACAAAAACCAAACCAAAAAGTCCAAAAGCATCTGCTGCAGGGAGGTGCCTTTTCTCTGAGATGCTGCGAGCTGATGACACGCATGACGGGGCTTTCCTCACCGCCCTCCCTGCCCAGTGCAGGGTTTCCCCAACAGGGATCCTTTGCTCAGGGACACCCCGTCGGCCTCACTGCAGCCTTCCCAGAGGTGCGCTGCAGCCTGAGGTGCCTCCTACCCAATCCCTCCTTCCCCTTCTCCCTTCACAAGTGCCAGACCTCTGTTACAGTCCCTGGACTCTCCCCACCACCTCCTGCTTCCTCTTGCTTCCTTCTTCACAAGAATTTCCCCAATAAATTCCTTGCATGTCTAATCTGTCTTGAGAGGCACTTCTCAGAAAACCTAAACTGACACAGCTTCTTTCACCGTCAACTACTGAAAGGTCAACTCTGACCTCTCATTACCAAATTCTCTGGTTTCCCCTTGGTCCCCTTCTACCTGCATTACGGTAACATTTGATGCTGTTGGCCCTCTCAGCTGCCATGGCACCGTGGTCTCCCAGATCTCCTCCTACATCTCTGGACACCCCGTCTCAGTTTCCGTGACTGGATCCTTTTCTCTGTCTTTCCTCTAAATACTGTGTTCCCAGTGGCCTGCTCTCAGCCCTCTCTTGAAAGGCTTGGCTGCTTTCCTCATCTCTTTATAAAGAGCTTCCCCATCTATCTTTTCCATTTTGCTTTCTCCTGAGCCCTAGATGTGAATTTCAGGTGCTTTACTAGGCATTTCCACACAAATGTCCATCTGGAATTCTGAATGCCAAGTCTACCAATTCAGTTCATGAAGGCCAACCGCATCCCCTCCCGATCCCAAACGCTGCTTCTCCCCTTTGTGCTCCATCTTGTGTAATGCTATCAGCATCTCTCCATCCTTGAAATCTCAGAGGCTTCGCTGACACCTTTCTCTCCAGGTTAATTCTACTTGCAAAATATCTGTTGACTCCTTTCTTTTTTTATATTTTTAAAGAGAGATAGAGTCTTGCTCTGTTGCGCAGGCTGGAGTGCAATGGCGCATTCATGGCTCACTGTAGCCTTAAACTCCTGGGCTCAAGCAATCTCCCATACCAGCATCCAGAGTAGCTAGAGCTGCAGGCACACACCACCATGCCTGGCTAATCATTATTATTATTTTTAAAATGTTTTGGAGAGACAGGGTCTTGTTTGGTTGCCCAGGTTGGTCTCAAAGTCTTGGCCTCAAGCGATGCTCTTGCCTCAGCTTCTCAAAGCTCTGGGATTACAGGCATGAGCCACCTGGCCTTGACTCCTTCTCATTCCCATCTTCGGCGCCATGTTTCAAGGCTTTAATACATCCCATTATCGCCTTGCAATGCATGAGCACAATTAGGGCTCAGCCACCAGGTCCACTTTGCAACCAACACTGTGTGGCTCGAGCTGGACTGACCCTGGCTCTGAGTTTCGGCTGTTCTGGTATAGGCAGTGTGCATTCTCCAGCCCACTGCTTCCCCCTTTTCTCTCTTTGAGGTACAGGCAGACAAGGGGCATCTGTGCAGCACACTCAGATGAGCCCAAAAAGCTGTTTCTGGCCAGCTCGAGGTCTGAGGGACTCACTGTCTTGCACACCTATAACTCATGACATACCAGGTGCAAAACTGGCTAGAGAATGGGTTGGTGGTATGTGGTCCTGGAGCAAGGGCCCAGGGAATAGGATGTGCAGAGAGAAAGATATGATGATGATCTCAGCTCAGGAGCAGCTGGAGGATGTAAGAGAGGGAAGTAAATTGTGAGATACAAACGGGGCCCAAGGAAGGCAGCTTCAGAGTCAATGACAAGTGGGAGTGGTGAGAGAGGAGAAGGGGAGGTGAGAGAGGAGAAGCCTTCCCAGCCTCTAAGCTCGGGAAACCACAGGGATGGTGAAACCACTATCTGTGAACGGGTGGATAGGGAAAAGATCACACTTTGGTGGCAAAAGATGAAAGGTTTAGTTTCAGACCTATTAGGTTTGATGCTGCTGGGGACATTCAAGACAAGATGTCTAGTAGGTATGTTTATCATAGAACGTAGCTCTAGGATGACTCTCTCATCACTTTCTGAATCTAAAGTAACTGAACATTCTTGTTTCTTTTGCTTCAAAATATTCCCTGCCTTCCTTATTTTACTGTATGCTAACAGTAGTTAACTGAACCTTCCTCATCCAGCCCCTTTGGGCCCGTGGGCTCTGAAGGGGCAGGCTAAGGGGATCTGAGACCACCTGAGCCAAACAAGGGCTGCCGTTAGCCAGCTGCAGACCTGCTGGACAACGGAAGTGACACGTGTTTAGACAGTGTTTAAAGCCTGAACGTTAGGAAATGCCTTCAAGTTTACCCACGGAAAAAGAATAACCATCATAACAGAACAAAAGGACTACTCAAGAGTGTAAGGGAACTGGCCTGTAATCCGAGCACTTTGGGAGCCTGAGGTGGGTGGGTCACCTGAGTCAGGAGTTCGAGACCAGCGAGGCCAACATGGCAAAGCTCAGTCTCTACAAAAATTAGCTGGATGTGGTGGTGTGTGCCCGTAATCCCAGCTACTTGGAGGCTGGGGCAGGAGAGTCTCTTGAACCTGGGAGTTGGAGGTTGCTGCACCACTGCACCCCAGCCTGGGAAGCAAGAGTGAAACTCCATCTCAAAAATAAAATAAAGCAAAAAAAGAGCATAAGAGAACTAAAAATAAATATGACAGAGACAAGCCCTAAAAATGCATTTTATACGATTTAAATGAGCACACAAATTTTCAAAATGCTACTATCCTTCTTAAAATTTCTTTTTTTCTGCAAACAACAGGAGCAATGACCTTATTCTCGGGAAATCTATCAAATGATTACCTTGTCCTTGTGTTATTACATTATTGTACCCCTTGGTATTTATTATTTAAAATTTCATTTAGCGTTTTTGGGATGTCTTTATTCTATTAAGTGATGATGAGTAATTATAGGATTTCGTTGGGAATGGCAGCATGTAATTCACTAAATGACCCCAACGACACTGGACTGGGCTCACTAAAATTAAGGGCATTGTAATTCAACACTGGCTTCCTATCGTCAGCTGGATCCAAGGGAAACCCACTGATAGATACCTAGACAGTAAATGAGCCAAATATTCTTATAGGAAGAAATTACATAATTTGGCAATCTTGTAAAAAGGGTTTTGGTAACTCAATGCATCTGAACTTTGGCTTAGAGAAATATGATGGCATGGGGCATACCTATTACAGACACTAACGTGGAAGGTTCAGGAATATCTTGTCGTATAGGATAGCTTTGTTCCTGAAAGATGAAAGAATTTGATTTTTTAAAATTTAATGAAACTTGGTGGCATTGAAAATTACTTATGTTTGTTTATGGTGGTTAATACATTCTTCAGTCTTCTCTAACGAGGGGTTAATTATTTGCAAAAAAAAAAAAAAGTCACGAAAGCATTAACAGAGCTGTCATGAAGAAATAAATCGAAAAATTCTTTTGTAATGTGAACATCGTTTTGTATGTGAATCAATACACCTTAACTGACCAATCTTGCAATTTGTAGTTTTATAAATTCAAACTCCTGAAAGTGATTGTCTTTATTCCTAAGAATCTGATAAACATATTATGTTAATACAACTAATATCATTTTTATCATGTTGCTCATATATTTGAGGAAATGCGACAGACATTTACCTTCAGGGTTCTTTAAAAATATAGGTCAAGAATGCCTCATGCTGTGTCTGAGACCCAACTCCATCATGAACACTTGACATATTTGTGATGTCTTGCACAGATTTAGGGATAAATCTGAATTCTAGTGACTCCACATTGAATGCACAGGGCTTATTAAAACCCTACAAAGTAATAGCACTGTGGTCCCTGCTGGATTGCAGACTGCTCAGATCTTAGATTGGAAGGAAAAAACGTGTTTGAAATCAAAAGACAGGACTCATAATATCTGCATTCTGCCTGCAGAGGCTCCCACTTCAGATGTAGTGATCAAGAGCGTCCAGT